TAGACTAACTTATCCGGAGTACTTGAATGGGGACCATTTCTACCGTCCTTTGGCTTTATATGCAGTAGCCAAGGGACTCACTCGGCACGACTGGCTGTGGCATTTCGCAAGCATTCATCACCACCATGAATTATACGCAATTTCTAGGAGGGCCAACTCCTGTCTACCCCAAACTTGGGGAAAGTTTATACTATTGTGCTTTTCATGTAGTTTGCCCGTTGTTTAACTGCGTTAAACAACCAGACGTTTAAAATAATATAAGCCCGATTGAATATAAAACAACGCTAAACACAAGTTCTGCATTTCAGCAGAATAAAACAACGCTTACTTTATTTCAACTGCTAACTAATCGAGTTGCAGCACCAGGCCAACTTACGCCGTACAACCACCAGTTCATCACGATGCATACCGTATTAGGATGTGAAATGGGAGTACTATACATCATGTAGTCGTAGTGCGCCATTGCCTTCCACGTACAGTGCTAAGGTTAGAGCAGATCAAGAGTTGAAGGTATGGCATAGCTTTGAATCATTGGACAGAGCGACGACTACATGTACTGTAGCCTAACTATATCCCTAACGTTATATACATTACTCGGAGTAGATAATGTTAGTACTGTAGTGATCACGGATGGGAGGTCATGTATGTGGCCATAGCTCCTTCAGTTTCATTGCGTCAAGCACCTTGACATGTTGACGTAAAGCAAGTTGTTTGCCAGAATGAAAACGGCAAACAACTTGTTTTACGAAAGTGCCAGTAAAACCACCTTCAACCAACCAATCATCGCATTAGATGAAGTAACTTTAAACAACGCACCCAACCGTTATTCAAGTTACTTTAGACATTATTTAAGCCTGAGAAATTTTTAAACAATGAATTTAACCCTGGAATTGCCAAAAAAGGTGCAAAGCACAATACTATTAATAGTACTAGTATAACATTACCGGTAAGTATCAGGGATGTCACGTTTGGTTTAGAAAAACCATTATTTTTCAAAAAGGTTTTTCAAATTATTATAACCTTAAACTCAAGGAAGTAAATTGCATTGCTTTATACAGTAAATCTTCAAGAATTGAGGTTTCGATACGAATTTCCAGACCCCATCGAATCTGAATCAATCATCTCGCCTCCTAATCGAATCGCGAATCGACGCTATTGGCTAATCCATTTTTTAGTGGATATGATTGGCAATCAGAACTCCGTCATGATTTAATATTGATTCGACAAACCAGGCGAATTTTGGAAGTTTATAGCAAATTAGTTCGCAATATTGCCGATTTTCTTCAAATTTCCCAATTTTGCATTTTGTTCAATCGAGCACAAATAGAGCCGAGACATCTGATTGGCCATTGGCCATTATCCACTTCGCCCTTTCCAGTAGAAACTCGAAAATGGATTGTAGCCAATCAGCGATAAGTAATTTGAGATTGACCAATGGGAGAGTTTGGTGCTCGATTCGCTCGGCGAGATTCGATTGAACGGGGTCCGGAAAGCCATACCGAATCTCCAATACTACGCTAAACTCTTTTTGGAGCACACTCACCGGTGTGACCCCATTTCTACCAGTGGCACAGGATTTTCACCCTCGCTGTATCACCTTGCCGTTACTCTTGCCTAACTAGAAAACTCTTAACACGATTTACATCGCCACGTTTTTGTGGCAAATGTATGAAGTCTTGATGTCGTCGCGTTGATTTTCTGTTTTGACGACGCACTTTCGCAGGGGTGCGTGCTCGATGACTTCGACAGCGCGCATTTCTTTCAAAGTGAGAAACAAGGTGTCGAAGGATCGTGTGGAAATGCTCAAGTAACTCATGTACTGTACATCAAGGCAAATTTACAACGCATTATTCAAAGTATTCATCGATATCGTTTACCGCATCCCAAGGTGAACATTCGGATTATTAACTTGATATGATACACATTTTAATAGCTTCGAGCCAACAACATGAAGTAAGAACACGAATTGTGCTGCATACACCTTGCTTTACTTCAGGCGTTATACATGTCGGGATGTTATATCCGGATTCTATGTCTTGCGAGCATACAAAATTTGAGATAAAATGGGCACAACTATTTATGGTTTTTTTTATGGTTTTACAAAAAACTCATTTTTCCAAGATCATGGTTTTTTCCATCCCTGGTAAAACATTATAATTACTGTCTGGACTGTTGCGAAATAGCCTAACGTACAGCTACTGTAGACTCGCCGCCCATCCATCCTATTCTTTTTTCCAGTCGATTCAACTCGAATAGGGAGATCATTTGTACGAGGCATTGGCATCACTGTACCTGGTCGAGTGGTCGGTTAGTGAAGAAGTGGAGGCATGTATTGATAATTTACTAACGATATTAACACTACAACACTAGTAAGTAATAGTAACTACTACTATTAATAGTTATTAATAGTACTAGTACGACGACTCTCGTCGACTTGGCTAACTGTTAGTGCATCGACGAGATCGTGATCCACAGACTGAAATAACGTTCATGTCGTTCAAACGGTAGTACTTATCCCATCCATGTATATGTAGGTCTTCAATTTCACTTGCTTAACGTTACTAGTAAGTGCTTATTAGTGCTGCATTCATACTAACGTTAGTTTAGAATGACGGTATGCTGCATTCGATTGATTAAGCTGACGACGACTGGATCTTCTTGAGCGCTTCCTGGGCCTGGATCTCCGCCGAGAGGTACCCTCGCTTGTTAATGTCCGTGTAGTATCCCATCTTCTTAGGGGGCGGGCGGGCCAGTTGGGGCAGCGGCTTGCCGTCGAACTTGTGCGGTTTAAGCAGAGAGCGCAGGCCGAGGCGGTTGAAGTAGACCGACTTGATGGCGCCACCCGCGAGTTCCACGGCTTCAATCGCACCTTGGGATGCCTGGGACACCTCGATGTTGATGGGCGTTGTCAGCGCAGATTTGCCCTACCATTACCCAGCTATTAGACAGTGATACAACCTTTCTCGCTTGAAAGCAGTCAACAACTCACCTTGGCCAGCAACTTGACGCCGTGCTTGACGCGGGACGTGGTCAGAAGACCAGAGTCGACCAGCGTCTTCATCGTGATGGTCTGGGTCGCATCCACGCGGCCCATGTCGATGAACAACTGCAATCGGTCCACGTTGAGCGTTTCCATGGGAGTGGCCCACTTGTTGTTGAAGCCGCGCTTGGGCACGCGTTGGTAGATGGGTGTCTGCCCGCCTTCGAAACCCAAAGCAGGACCGGAGCGACCGCTGCGAGCCTTTTGACCCTTGTGCCCGCGGCCGCATGTCTTGCCCTTGCCGGATCCAATACCACGACCGAGACGCTTGCCCTTGCGCGCGGCGCCAGGGTTGTCGGCCAAGTTGTTGAGACGCACAGGTTCGATCAATGCCGGAGCAGCAGACCCGTACGACGAGAAGCGAGCGATGGACGCCGACGCCGGCGCCACGGCCACCCGGCTGAACGCATGTCGGAGAGCAAACATCATCAAGCGAAGGTCACGATGAGGGTGAGCCAGTGGTGGCTCCGCTTGGCTGGTGACCGATTCCAGCGATTCCATTGGCTGGATTTTCCCCAATCACATCCTTGCCTCGTATTTTATCCGGATATTTTGGGATGTGATAAATTCATAAAATTAGGGTTAAATTGGAGAAAATGATGCGCAATTATTCAAATTCCAGCGTGGAATCTCGCGACTTGATGGACGGGTACCTCCGCTTCCGCCAAAAGTGCAAGGAATGGCAGACGGGACATGACACCCTGCTCCGCATGCTCTCGTCCTTCCAGAGTCAAGTGGAGTCCATGCGAGGGAAGCTCTCCGACGAGGACACTCTCATGCTGAATCGGCCAATGGACCCATTCCGTTTGGAAGAGCTGTTCGTGTCCATTCAAGAAATGCCGCCAAAGTTGGAGTCGATCCTCCATGACATGTACGACATCTACCACGACACGAGGAATGCATCAAGTCACGACAGCAAGAAGGAACATGGAGCTCCATGCTCCCGCCGCGACTATATTGGATTCGTCGGCGTTGAAGTGGACATGTATGAAGCGGAATTCCAGCACATCGTACGACAAGACAGTCATATCCATCATTCTCGTCATGCATCGTGTGAGTAGGAAGCGGTAGTGAACTCCCTGCATTTCGACACTCCTAGCAACGTCTGGAACACGTACATCACGTCCCTATCCACCCAGCCCTTCCTCGACATGGATGTCCTTTCTGCCATCACAGAGGTACAGACTCTGCTTCCTTATCATGCACGATGTCTCATCGGCCAATATGCAGAAACATAACTTTTCGTATCGGCATCGTACACGTCAACTGCCATGATAATATACATGGATTACCACGTGTTTGGAATTGTACTCTTACTCGGCGGTCCCGCGACGACTGGAGATGGAGATGGGGCATCCACATGATGCTCTGTCGTCGCTCGTTTGAACTGGGCCGCGATCTCTTCCATATCCTCGAGACATAGTCCATTGAGGAAGGATGCTTGCACCTACAGCTCCACGTGTGGGTCCATGGAACCATGGTCGACGATGTGTACCTTTTCAAACTCCTTGCGGATGCGCACCGACTCCGCGGGCGTGAAGTACTCCTCCAGGAACGTTTCCAAGGCCGTGCTGAACGACACATCCAAGCGGGGTCGCTTGTTCGCACCTGGCTCACATGTCACGCACCAGACTGGACCTCATGCAGCAGTTGATACCTTCTCCGAGCTCCGTGATCGTTGACACTGTCTTTTCTTCGGGCTACAGCGTCCATGAAGCTCAAGATCTCCTCTTCCAGGACATCATCATCCATCGTCTTACCTCGCGTTTCCATGCCACGCGGTAATGGGTCTTCTTCCGTACCACAGGGAACTGCGCAAGGCGGCGCGTGAAGTCGGCTTCGTCCATTTCTACGATGGCGAGGGAGGGAATATGTATGACCTCTAAAGTGCGATTTTGACGCTGCGTTTAATACGTTATATTCCCAGGTCAACGTTAAAACGTATATTTTCAAGGAGTCGCGTTTCGACCATTCCGAGAATCTCGGCGAGCATTGGGCAATGTGTGGGCTTATGAGATGCCCCTACATGCATGCTCCTAGGCTCTACCGGCATGCTGAGTGTGCTGGCGTCGGAGCCGCCGAGCGTCCATGACGATGAGGAGTCGCTACATGGGACAGTCGGCACACCGGTGCTCGATCACCATTCTCAAAGACATGACAAAGGTGCTATCTATGCTCCAAGGATATTCAACACATAGTACCACGATGCACGATGGTATCGGCAGTATTATGATCGCTCCTTTAAGCTTTCGATGACGCTGGCACGCATCATGGTGCTGAGCACCCCCGCGCATCCGTCCGTGCACAGCGAGATGGCTTCTTGGACGCGGTCGTAGCTGAGTTTTCCTTGCTGTATGAGATGCGTGATCTGACCTTGCGCCGCCATGAACGCCACGAGCACGTGCTTGGTCGTCTGTTCGTCGGCGGTCGGATCGAGGACGATGTTCCCGTCCCATTCCCCGGCACTGCATGCCGCCACCATGTCGATCATTTCCACGCCGGCATCCACGAGCGCCAACGACGCACATGTGATCGCGGCGCTCAGTTCGCTGCCGTGCCCTTCCAACACCACGGCATGGATGCTCACCTGACACTTGGGGAACTTGTTTACGAGGATCGCAGGCTCCAATGCTTGGCGCATGAGATTGCCAAACTCCGATTCGAACGTCGCCATCGTCGACGGAAGCTTGATCTCGCATGTGATGGGCTGCCCTTTCGTCTGTCGAGGGTTCGTCTCGGCGCGAGGCCCGTACACTGCGCACACGACTCGCGTCTGCCCAAACTCAACGTACGCCGACCCTGCAGCATGACTCAGAACGCCGCATCGCATGAAGCATCCGCGGAACTCGTCGCCACTGCGTCCGTCCGCGCGAGGTGCTCGTGACTTGCCATCCTTTGACGGGGACTCCGCGCGTGTCGGTTGCGGGAAGTACACGTTCTGCATGTTGTTTGAAGGTTTGGAAACGTACTTACTTCACTGGTAGGATGGAATGCACTGTGATAATTTATACTGTGTGTGCTGGATTATAATATTTAGAAAGGGTATAGGACATTTCAAGGCGTGAAATAATAATATGGAGGCATTTTACAGGTGTAAAACAACATGGAGGCAATTATGAATAGTGAGTATTATATAGTAGTATTATTAATATTAATAGTATTATTGATATTAATAATACTTCGAAGTACTATAATTCACTATAATACGTAGTACGTACTACTATTAATAGTATTAATAATAGTAGTAATAACTGTTCTATTAATAGCGTACAATGCAAAAGTGGAGGGAACATATTTAACAGTTAGCAACTTACTATAGTAGTAGTATAAGTGTTGTCCAGTGAATACGTTGTGGTGTAGCTGAGCTAGGAAAGGCTTTGCACTGGTGCATTACGAATTGAAGATCGTTCTAGTTGCGCATTGTGTCAAGTATATGGACTAGTATGTACTAGTAGTATGTACTACCAGTCCTGTCAGATGCGATGAAATACGTGGCGCGATGGTAGCCCGTTGTTCTGGCTCGTACAGCCATCACCTTGCCTTACCACATGAACGAGTTCGTCCAAACTTCACGACGTAGCCCACAGGACGAGGAGCTAGCTCTACATATGTACTGAGTCACCCAACGACATCAGCAAACGCAAGTGCCCGAACCAGTGTGAAATTGAGTGGGCCATCTCTCTCGAGTTTGAATCTACTTACTCTCACTAGCCAGTAACAAGTGGAATTTCAACAGATTCGCATGCTATTTTACCGGATCAAAACGCAGGCTGGCTTATCCGGATAGTTGCGATATCAATAACGTGAATGCATATTGTACGACACAAATCCAATACAATTTTCAATGAAGTAAAATAAAACGTCCTAGTACTTACTACAGAGGAACTCGTAGCTAGATGTAATCCAATTTTGGCGAATACCACCACTTGTAGATCCCGAATGTCCTTGTAGAAGGGACGATAAATCCGCAAGTACAGTCATTTGAAGTACAATATTGCGCCTGTATATTCTTCACAATACAGGGCTCTGAGATCCATGTAATATTCGCATCGAATGCTGATATTTGAATGAATGATGGGGAGTCCAAACAACGAATTCGTCGTGTTTTGCGCTGAATGCGTGTTTCGGATGTCAGATTCAACAGCCTACATCCATCTATATTTCAAAGCATTTATATATAGCGGTGCTGATAGTGCGGTCGAACAAGATCCATTCAAATCCGAGCGGATGGGTTACTATTACCGGGGACAAAGATCGCAAGTTTTGAATTCCGCGAAGATTCGAATATTCGTGAATCTTCAGGAATACTAGAGTATTGGCTAGTATGTTGGCAGTATATAGTATTTTTATCCGTATATTTCGGAGAAATCATTCCATTTGTAAACCAGCAAGCGTCAGCGACAAATATACATATACAAATTCCTCGTATCAAGACCAAGTGCAGCACAAGGGTTTCTTAACACGAATGGATTTATTCGTAGAATGCCATTTGAATACCATATTTCCGTCATCTCCCTGGAATGAGCCCAAGGCTGCAATTAAATACTTCGGAGTAACGTAATGGTACTATTTGGTTGTTTATTCCGCTGTGAATTGGTAAACAAACAATTCCTATTTCCCCAATATTGAACCCCCTTGTAATTACTACCGGTAGTACTGTACCTTCCTTGCACGAGAGGCAGGCAGCATACATACTGTATGGTCTGTAGTATGCGGTGAATTGTAAAGTGGCCTTGAACTGTATTGGCAGCACTACTAGTACTACAGAGTGGTATGCAGATACATATACCTAAGGGCGATATAATACTCCGTGCATTCGTGCTGTATCGCGCCGACATCCGCGTTTTCTAAAAGTGTGAAAGATATCAGTATGTACTACGTAATACCCAAAATCAACAAACATTTCGAAAATAATGATGTCGCAGTAGGAAGTAGTACTAGTACTACTATTAATAATAATAGATGGCTCGACAACAAGTGTTCATAAAACGTACTATAATACTATTAATAGTAGTAGGAAGGATAATAATAATAATATTACGTATTAATATAAGCCACCCCAAGATTCGCGCGTGAATCTAGCCCCAAACACATGGACTCATGTCCACGATCTGCTCATGTTCAAGTCATGTGCTGCATCAATAACGAGTCGTGACCATATTGTCGTAGCCATCTACTACGTAGTACTTCGAAGTAGTTGAATAGTGTTATTAGTGCATGTGCGCTTATTATTAAAAATATCTGTACCCGGTAATAAATGGTGAATTTTATTTCCATATTTGTCATTAATAATATTACAGTAGTATTCCATCCACACATATTCAGTCGAAATGTCCCCCCTCCTCACGTCCTCTTTCCAACTTCAACATCAAGTGTGTTCATTTCCAAATTTTTCGTTGCTACCACATCAAGAGCCATCATGGACGGCGGCGGGTACACGTCTGCGGCGCACACCCTCCGCACGGAAGCGCCTTCGTCGGACATTGTCGCCGCCATGGAACAACTCAAGCGCCAGCGCAGCGCCGTGGAAGGCAAGCGCATGCAACTCGCGCAATCCCTCGCCCTTGACGACGATGCGACCAAGCGAAGTACCGACGTCAAGGCCACAGAGTTCGCGCGGCTGTTCCAAGACAACGTCGTGCCCCTGCCCCTTGCGTAAGCCCATGCAGTCGCTCCTTCCTTCGGCGTCATTCTATTTAAAACACTAAAGTCCTACCAAGTGTTCCTGAATTCGATGTATTGCGCGGGGAACGAGCTCAAGTACGATGTGCTTGATCGAAGGGAGTCGTGTGGATCAAATATGATACAAACACAAGGAGCTTGGCTTCATAACCTCCTACCAAGCAGCAGCCGAAGCATTCACATTATGCGTTGGCTTCTTCATGGATCCGTTCGAGTCCAACCTTTCCTTGGTGTCGCTGTACATGTTGCGTCCATCACTTTGTGTAACCTTCATCAAAGCCCTGCCTTGCTTGTCAACGGCCGCCGCTGCAAGGCGCCACAGGCTGTGGCGTTATCATCGCAACCTGGGAGTTCCATGTCCACAGGAAACAATCCTCTGTTGTGGTACTGTGCATGACGTTGAGGGCTACGATGTTCCAAGGTCTCGATCTGCCGATGCCTCATACCGTACCTCATCTCCATGGCCATGCTATCATCAGGTTTCTACAGAATCGCCAAACCTCGTTGTTTCGATATTCAATTCCAACAGGTTTCCCACAACGAAACCTGCAAGATCGAATATCGAATGTGACAGTATTATAATGGGGCATCATCTGTGCGATTTGATTGGTCGGTTCGATCATTGGCTCTGCAATCGCAATGGCTGTCCTGTGGCACGACATCTTTTTAAAATAGTTTGGTGTTTGTATACTCGAATTTCCACGTTTATTTAATTATTCCCCTTTTGTATTTCCACAGAGCGCCGTGTCCAGTTACTTTTCTTTTGCAGGGTATTTGCCATGGTGTCTCTGAAGCTTCAAAAGCGGTACGTACGTGGACGCGCCGCCGTCTCCCCCTTATTACATAGACACATGGAGCTCTTCCTCCCTTCTCTCCCTCGATGACGATCGTGCTCATGCGATGCTTCTGTAGTCTGGCCGCTTCGGTCTTGAAGTGCGGTAAGCGCAAAATCTGGTTGGACCCCAACGAATCCACCGAAATCGCGTTGGCCAACTCGCGCCAAAACATCCGCAAGTTGGTGAAGGATGGCTTTGTTATCCGCAAGCCCCAAATCATCCACTCCCGCGCTCGCTTCACCAAGCGTAACGCCGCCAAGCGAAAGGGTCGCCACACCGGCATCGGGAAGCGCCGCGGTACCGCCAACGCCCGTCTCCCGTTCAAGGTGATCTGGATGCGTCGCATGCGTGTGTTGCGCCGTCTTCTCCGCAAGTACCGTGACTCGAAGAAGATCGATAAGCACATGTACCACGACTTGTACATGCGCTCCAAGGGTAACCAGTTCAAGAACAAGCGCGTGTTGATGGAAATCATCCACAAGCTCAAGGCCGAGTACTTGCGCGAAAAGTCCCTCAAGGATCAATCCGCCGCCCGCCAAGAGAAGGCGCGCGTCGCCCGCGACCGCAAGGCCGGCAAGGACGACAAGCCTTAAGCATCTACGGACACACTCTCTTGACCCTGCTAAGAAGTTAATGGACATCTGCCCCGGTTTCCATCTCTCTGCAATTACTTTCGATAAAGGGCCCGGGTGGTATTTTTGTCCAATGAGATTGGAGACGGAGGTTTTCCATGGATTTGATTGGATGATACAATTTAGTGCGAGGAATCAAATTCCAACTTGCGCAGCACCGAGGCCGCGAGCGCGGCACATGCATATGTGTCATGACGTCCTCACGGCCCTTGAAGATACAGGAAGGGGGGGCTGCAATGCATAGCTGTTGTCGGTGGCGACGAGTATGGCATGCATTCGATCCTCACATTCCTTCCTTCGTGAAGGGTACACAGCGTTACCTGCCTGTGTACTATGCAAGACGAGTTGGTCGAGTGTCTCGACGATCCTTACCTGTTCTGATGTGAATGGTGAATCCTCGTTATGGAGGAGTCTCGTTGCATAGAGAGATAGCCCCAGCCAGCCAGCTTTGGCAACGTGTTTGGTCCAGCTGAGGTGGGGGAATGCAGTCATCGCCATCGCATTCCCATCCTGGCAACCAAACTCTGACTTACAACCACGTCGCACATTTGCACATGCCTTCAGACAAGCGACCTAGTGGTGCATCTCGTTCCCCGTGTCCCAGACACTTTCGGAATGGCGTCAATCGGAGCAGTCCACTGACCTTCAAACATATAACAAATTGCGACCTAATGTTTCACAATAGTCGCCATTATTATGTCACAAATAGTGAATGTCCATTTTCCAGCATGGCACGCAAACGCTGCCGAACCAGCACGCCGGCAGTCGACAAAAATGGCGGGATGGCGCACGTCCTGCGCTTTCTTCCGCGGCAATCCCTCTCGTCGATGGCTCAAAGTTCACGTGCATGGCATGCTCTTGTGCACAGGTACTTTTGCCTCATGCAAGAGGACCTGTCTGGTGGGTTGGAGCTGTCGTTGGCTATTCCCGTCGTAAACACAGTCGACAGCGAACGATACCCCCAAGGTTTCGTGTACCAAACGTCCACAACGTCCATCGGCGGCATGAACCTTCCTCCGCCACTCGAGCGGCATGTCCCCGTGGAAGTGTTCAAACACCATCGGACGGGATGGAGTGTCCGCGCGACAACTGCAATCGGTTCCGTGGATTCGTTCATCGGCGAGTACGTAGGCCGCATTGTGCGCACGGCAACGATGGATCGAACGTCGAGGTACATTGTAAGCATCCGCGAAGAGGACAAGGATAGCGGTGGCATGATCTGGCGGACCAACGTGGACGCGCGCGACGTCGGCAACTTCACGCGCTTTATCAACCACTCATGCATGCCCAACGCGAGGTGGGACACATATCGATCGCCGACGTCGTTCTTTCCGCGCATCCACGTCATGTCCCTGCGCGCCATCGACGCCGGCGAGGAAATCACCGTCGATTACGGCGCGGCCGCCGGCATCGGCACCACGCATTGCCACTGCGGCACTGCAACATGTCGGGGCTTTTTACCATTCGACAGTACTTTGTAACTCATACAAACCCCAGTGTACAGTTAGCTGTACTAGTACATACTACTAGTACTAGTAGTCAATTGGAAGGATTTATTTACCGTAGATATTTCAATCTTCGAAATGAGTACTATTATTAATAATAGTATTGTCCTTTGACCCAAAATTAGGACTTTTGGGGGCTGAGTCGCCAAATTGATCGATTTGTGAATATTAATTGAATCACACACGAATTCGATGTTGTACGTTGGTCGAAGAACGGATTTGATTGGCCACTTGAATCGTAATCTAGGTTTTGATTGGTCGATCATCGATTGTCTGTCGATTTGGTGACTAATATATACTATATAGTGTACTACTTCGAAGTACTTGATGTGTGATTGTATTGAATATTTGAATTCTATTTGCGTTTTCATAGTTCACGGTGCAGATCAACCACACATACGGTAGATCATATAACCGTGAAATGACCTTGTCTAAGCTAGCAACTGGTCAAAATATGCGACAACGTTCTCGGCCGGCAGCGTCTGCTGCGTCCGTCCGCCTAGATCCTTCAGTGTCACATATCCTTGATCGAGCTCATCTTGGCCCAGTAAGATGGCGTAGGTACATCCAAACTGGTCGGCCAGCTTGAGCTGCTTCTTGAGCTGCGGAAACTCAATCCAATGCACGACATGGCCGGCCCGCCGCAGTGCCGCCGCCAACTGTATCGCAGACACGCCCACGTTGCCCACAGGCACCATCTAATGACCCATTATGATGAAAATATCAACAGGATGGCTCAAGGTACCGCAATCTGCGTCGGCGGGGGCCGACGGACGGGGCCTAGTGCCGTGAGCCGGTCCACGCCGGCGGCCCACCCCACGCAAGACATCGCTGGGCCCCCTAGGGCTTCGACAAGGTGGTCGTAGCATCCCCCAGCTAAACATGCGAGTCCGGACGAAGAATCCACAAATTCAAACACTGTGTGGCTGTAGTAGTCCTAAATAGTTAGTTGATTAGGTAGTGATTAGGTAGTTGATTAGGTAGTGATTAGTTGGTTACTGTACCAATCCACGAACGAGGGTGTGATCCAGCTGCGACGAGATGCCCAGCGCCGCCAATCCGTTTTGCACCACATCAAAACGCTAGATACAATAACATAGGTTTATAAGAATAATAATAAATCACGAGTGTATGGTAGAAATATATATAGATATTGGATTAACCAAACGAGTGTACCGTGCGGGCGCTTTTGGTTAAACTGTCGAGCAACCGCGGCGCGTCCTGCAGCAATTCCTTGTCTCGACTATCCTTGGAGTCCAAAATGCGCAGCACGCTGCCACGCGTTAACCTAATGTACGTCTATAGGTGACGAATTTATATCTCTATATATATATATATATCGTAGCATAAATAATATATATATATAGTAGCATAAATTATATATATATATGATGGACAGAGTCCAACGTACCGCTGTTGGCTGTCGGCCGAGAGTTCGTGCTTGAGTGGGTCCAAGAACGCCGTGAGGGTGCTTCGGTATGCTTTTCGACTACATTATGTTAAGACCGTTAATGTACTTCAGTGTATTCGTTAATGTACTTCAACGCATGCACTAATGTACTCTATGCAGTCACGAATGTACGTCAAGGCATTTGTAGTTGAATGCATATGAATATTGGTTCAAGGTTAATGTAGTTCAATGCATATACATGTAGTTCATTCATTCGGTAATGTACTTCAACACGTTCGTGAATGTACTTCAAGGCAGTCGCTAATGTACTTCAATGCACTCGCTAATGTACTTCAATGCATTCGTTCATGTACTTCAAGGTGTTCGTGAATGTAGTTCAATGGGAATGTAGTTCGTTTTACACCTGTCCACACATCCGAGGGTGTTGATATGCAGCGTCAAGTCCAATCCGAGCGCGTTCACGACGTCGTTGGCCATGGCCAGCACGTCAATGTCGATATGCGGCCCATTCGACCCGAGGTATTCGATGCCTACAAGCCAAGGAAGGGTAAGGGGGTTTATGGGTGTAGAGTACGCATCCGACCAAACTGCTGGAATTCGCGGTACCGCCCGCGCTGGGGCCGTTCGTAGCTATGGATGAGAGATGAGATTTGCCAGGATGTAATACATGTCCATCGTCATACCGAAACATACTGCCAGAGTACGACACTTTATGCGGACCAGCGTATTGCAACCCGTTGCTTAGCATGGAACGCACGACACCTACGCACGAAATCGATGACCCATGAAACCATGTGCATGTATATCGGACCGGCTGTGCCTTCAGGCCGCAACGTCAAGCTGTTGTTCGAGTTGTCTGGGAAGGTATACATTTCCTACATTGTGGTATTGTTACATGTATGTATTGGTCGGTGGATGGAGATGTGCGGGGTACCTTGGACACAATGTCGGAGGTGGTGCCAAGGGAGCGCATGTATAGGTCGGTGGACTCGATCATCGGCGTTTGGACGGGAGCATACCCGTACCGACTGCACGTGGACTGCATGATGCTCACCACATGCTGCTGGGCTGCGAGGTCTTTCGCCCAGAGGTCCCTTGTCCCGCGGACGGCGGCCACACCCGTGGCCTTCTTGGTTGCCATTGCAATAGTGGTCGAAACCGGATATGTATTCGGATGTTTTCAAAATACCGGTAGTCGTATTTCCACCTGGATTGTTGATTTGAACTATTATATCGTTTTCAAGTTATCGAAAACGGTATTTTACACAGTAAATGATTCATTTGTTTTTTTAAATATAAATGAAAATGATCTGAAAATCATTTATTGCATTTGACCTGTGTACGGATAAGTAGTTTGTCGTATCCGGTGCATTGAAATGAAGCCATAGAACGAACGACACCACCCACGCGACAATGAGCACCGAGGCGACCCCGACAGTAGACGAAGCCAAGACCGAGTGGCGCTCCGGGCGACTGCAGTGGTCGAACCAAGCTGAGCATGTACGACAACCTCCGCGCATCCTGTCCGTCTCACCACATGGGTAGAAACTGAAGCAAGAGCTAAACGCGACGGCCCTGGCAAAATGCCGCGACAGGACCTCAGCCTTCCACGAATGCTCCAAGGAACATGGGTACGGCCACATGTGCTACCTATGAGCACGTGGATATGTCGTTCTCATGCATGTCTGGGGTAGGTTGATGGTAGTGTTCAAGTGCCGTGAACAGAACCATGCGTTGAACGAGTGCTTGCATGAGTACACGAGCAAAGAAGCGCTGGAAGCCCTCAAGGCCGCAAAAGTGAACGACATCCCCGTCGTGATCAAGGAAGTCCCGCGCAAGAAGTACTTTGAACAGTAGAGCCCCCACGCCTGCCTCGTGCTTCGTCGCCTAGCCTACTGCGACCGCCGCTCTTTGGTTTATAATGATCATGACACTAGACACACAGAGTTGCTGTTTACACCTCAACTAACGATCGAGTAATCCCTCGAGTATGCAAGTACTAGTTCAAGCTTTAGTGCAAGCCCATCGTAGCAGTGTCATCTTGGTGACGAAGATGAAACTCGTGGAAAGGTATCCGATTGAAGAACTTGAAGCATGTTCAATATGGAATGTATTCATCCGCCATTCTAGTACTACTGTAGTATTACTACTACTGATAATACCGTCTGAATGATATGGTCGATAGTATTACTGCTGAGAATCGTCCTCGTACGTAGTAGTACTACACCTTTTTGCAGTTAAGTTGGACGAATGACCGATGTATTTGGCCGTGCACCCGATATATTTGGTGGTGTGCCCGATATAATTAGCCATGTGCCCGTTTAATTTGGCCCGCTGAGGTCGTGCACCCGATATATTTGGCGGTGTGCCCGATATAATTAGCCGTGTGCCCAAGTAATTGGCCATCTGCCCCATGAATTGTGTCGTGCGCCCGATGAAAATAGAATAACTCAAATTAAAAATTGAACTCAATTAAAAAATGCAGCACATCGGGCATTCGTCCAACTTAACTGCAAAAAGGTGTAGTATAAGTTCCACGTGCTCAGTGTTTTACAAACCTACTGTACGTACTGCACACCCGTTATAGCTATCTTCCATTAGATTAACTGTTAGCCCAGATCGTTACTATCATCCACGACTATGACGTTTAACGTCACTTTATATGAATATGGTTGCCACGAAGATATCGGTCTAACTGTTATTAACTAGTCTCGCTTCTTGGTTACTATGGCTTGGGTTGCTGGCAATGGTACAAGTGAGAGCCCAAGTCCTACCAAGATGTTTCTGTCATGAACATGTGTCAAGATGGACAGACCTCGGACGCGGTCATCGGGTCGATCAGCGGCACCATTTGACAAGGACTGGAGAAGCACTCGATGCCTTTGCAGTGGTAATGCAGTTGGGCCCGCGCCAACTCGGACATGACTTTCTACTCCCATCGTAGTCATGGGGGCGTTGATAGAGACAGGTATATGCACGTAGTAGATAGATGATGATACCTTGAGCTTGGTGACTCGGAAAAACTCGAAGCGCTTCATATGTACATCAACCAGCGCATTCACGTTCTCTACGCGGCGCCGTTGGTCATGCACGAGGCGCTGCCGCTTTTCCCGCTCCTTGTTGGTCTGAAGCATGTCGTCCACGTCCCTTTGAACCTTCTTCAGGGTCTTGATGGACTTGTCGCGGTCCTCCAGCAGGCGCTTCATCGGCACCACGGCCCAGTCCTGGATCTGGGCAAGCTCCACCATCGCTTGTTGTTCAGGACGAACGACCAGAAGCTCCCGCGTGTCTGTGCTTAGTGTCTGCGTCGCCTCGGCGTACGTCGAGAAGGCGCGCTGCAGGGACGGCACGTTCTCCTGGGCCGCGCACTCTTCCAGGGCCTTGGCCACCTTGGCCGCAAGCACATCTCTCTGCTCGCGGAAGGCGACGGTCTGATGGATCTGATCCTCTAGCACCTTGAGGTTTCGCTCCAGCACATGCACTGCATTCCACAGGTACGTCGTCCGCTCGTCGACATCGTCCTTCATGGTGAAAGATCGTCCATTCGGTTGAATGGAGTGTTATCCGGCTGATCGACTTCGGATTTACTACTATTAATATAAAAATATATATAATTAGGACAACACCTAATATTGATATTGCCTGATACATTTTTGGAAATAATTAAAACAAACTTGAGCAATTTCAGCCGAAATTCGATATTTTTCGACATATGGAGAAAAAGTCCAAAACCAACCAATCGGCGCTCGGAAGGGTTTCCGCATTGTGTGGTTTGACGTCATGTTCTTCCTCAAGCAACTCAAGCGGGAGCTGCTCCTGCATCCGATGCACTTCGGCCCAAAGCTTCATGACATCATCCGACTTCGGTTGATCGAAGAGGTGGAAGGGACGTCGCTTGGGAAGTTTGGGTATGTCATCGCGGTCACGGAGGTGCGCGACGAGGACATTGGCCAAGGCGTGATCCAAGACAACTCGGGGTACGTGTGCTTCAACATTGCGTACCGTGCAATCCTGTTCCGTCCGTTCAAGAACGAAGTGCTGGATGCGGTCGTGACGGTCGTCAATCAGCTCGGCTTCTTCGCCGAAGTCGGGCCGCTGCAGGTGTTTGTGAGTCGGCACGCCATGTCCACCGACCTGAACGAGGGATATGACCACGAACAAAGCGCGTGGATCAGCCAGGACCGCGAAGTGGAGATCCGCAAGGGTGTCGGCGTCCGCTTGAAGATCATGGGGGTGTCCATCGACGTCACTGAGATTCAAGCGATCGGGACGATCAAAGACAATTATTTAGGTGTAATTTCGTCGGAATACTAGCAATATACGTCACTTCATCGCGACCATGGCCATCCCTTGCCCACACGACCCTTGATGTCTTCTTGGGATTCGTTCACATCGTCCGCCGCCGCCGATGAATCCGTCCACGTGCCTGTAAGTGACACCGACGGCTTTGGAGGAGCAGGAGAGGAAGGCCGACTCGACTTCATAGGAGTCGAACTCACAGAGTTGACGAGTTCGCGCACATGCTGCATCTGCGAATGTCCGTACGCGAGGTGCCGCTTCACCTCGGTGGGGTTGGTTTCATGCCGCGTCGCGTCGAACTTGGCGCGGATGGTATGTTGAACTTCCAGGCGGGTATCCCTGGCAAGCGGACGGATCTCACGAAGGAAGAGACGGTATTGCTTTAGGACCTGGCTACGGTTGACGAAGTATGCGAAGGACAGCGCTGCGCCACCGCCCACGCGGGAGGTTGGGGTCACCATGAAGGTGAACGAACTTCACTTGTCGTGCCAGTGTTGCATGTCTTGGAAATTGTATGCAATATAATAAATCCCAATCCAATTAATATTCGCCAATACATGAATAGAATTGACAAAACACGCGAACGATTCCCCCCAATCAGTACATGTTCGACCTTTTTCCACGTTTCCACAACCTTGATTGAGAGTGTTGCAAAGCTCTGTGCTGCGCAATCTTGCTTCTCCCATACGACGACTAAGCTTATTTCAAACTTCTCTGCTCCTACAACGTTATTATGCACTGATGAGGGCTTGGAACTTGGCATCCAAGTAGGTACAGTACTGCAACGTTGGTCATGTACTAGTAGTCGATTGGTCAGAATTTAAAGCTCGGCAGTGTACATTCAGTTTGATCAACCCATAACGTCGAGTACTACTGTAGCGCAGATAGTACTAGTAATGGACTTCATTTCACGGGTGGTTATGCAGCATTGCGTGTTTACGCGGTCTATCTGTCTGTACCAGCCAGCAGCATCTTTTGTGGCCCTGTGGATGGCATGAACTGCATTATGGGAATTGTACTCTGGTTTGGTCATTTGAAGGCCTGCCAATCCACCAATCATAAACGAGATTGTATTTTAGCCAATCCCAAGCGTTCACAAGCAAAGAGGGTTTGCGTTCATAAGACAGGGGGATTTGATTGGGTGGATTTGGTTGGCTTGTGGGGTCGGTTTTGGGCTGGTTGGTGTCAGAGGGAAATCTACTGACCAACAGGTATGGAGCGTCGACATGATGAGTGCATGCATGATGGGGAGAGGAGACGTGGAAGATGATGCACAGGCAGGAGGTACATCTCTGATGATGGGGTTGTGTATGTAGTAAAGACCATGGCTATTGAACCGACCCTTGCGGCTTTGGCCAAGAAGACGAACTGCGAAAAGCAAATCTGCCGCGTGTGCTACGCGCGCCTCCCCCCTCGCGCGTCCAACTGCCGCAAGAAGAAGTGCGGTCACTCCAACCAATTGCGCATCAAGAAGAAGATCAAATAGACTCGTGTGTCCGAACTATTCGATGCACTTCCAGTGTGCGTTGGCATCAGCAGTGTGTGGTTCGCGGCGCGTTGGCCGAGACGGCGTCTATGTATTCTAACCCGCTGCTCGCGTGTAGCAATATAAAACGACTCTTGAATAAACACGGGAACCACCCTGAGTCTCTTCCCTCAACCCCGTCCTTCACGCAGCATCACGTTGTCGTACATATTCCATCAAGACATAGATGGAACGCTAGCCAAGCGCCAACTGATCGTTCCTTGAACGCTACTAGCAGTAGCATAGATGGGTACTTCACATACAGCCAAGTAACTATGTAAACTGTGCAGCACCCGCGATATCTTTCATCTCAACAGTCATGGGAGTTATGAATAGTAGTTGTTCCTCCAATCCTTTAGTAACTATTAATACTATATATTTATAATATGTATATTGGTGTTAGTATTACTATGAGCTCCACGTTTTTCGCCTACAACCGCAGTGTAGCTGTAGCTGTAGCTGTAGCTAAGGGCAAACTGACCCAGCTACATGATCGCTCGACACTTTTCAGCCAACAGTTACAATATTATACTACTAGTACATCCCAGCTACGTATACCTACCTACCTGTAGCCGGCTACAGCTTTAGCTCTATGCCCATCGTCTAGCTAGCTAGCTAGCTATTCCCTAGTTAACTAGTAGTCCTACAATACTCGATCGTCCATCTATCGTATTCAACCACGAGATACAATACCAACATGATGCGAGTTAGTTATTGAAATTTCGATTCGAGCGACCACAAGTATGTAGCTGGCAGGTGGCGGTTGCTTAGTTGGAGCCGACGGCATACACGCGGACAATACCGTCCGTGTACCCGGCAAACAGCGTCTGGCCATCGGCGGACCATGCGAGGGACACGGCATGCGGCGGCTGAGACTTCTTGCCGACGTTTTCAAACTCGGGCACGAGCTCATCGACCACGACCTTGGACTCCAAATCCCAGATCTTGATCGCCGACGAAGTGGCCGCTACCAACCAGTAACGGTTGGGAGAGAACACGAGCGCATGGATGATGTCGTTGGCTTCGAGCGAGTACAAGCGCTTGCCTTCGTTCAAGTCCCAGAGCATGGCCACGCCGTCCTTGCCGCCCGACGCGCACAAGGATCCGTCGGGGGAGACCGTGACGGTGTTGAGGTAGCCGGTGTGGCCGCACAGGTTGGTGCGGAGCTTGCAGTTGGTCAAGTTCCACACCTTCACGAGGCGGTCCCACCCCGCGGACACGATCAACGGGTTCGCCGACGACGGGGAGAAGCGCACGCAAGATACCCATTCGGTGTGACCTTCCTCGGTGATGGTGTACTTGCACTCGCCGAGGGTGTTCCACAACTTGATGGAGCGATCGCGGGAGCCTGACACGATTTGGCGGTTGTCGGCCGAGAACGCGACCGAGAGCACGTCCTTCGAGTGACCGACGAAGCGGCGGGTCGTGATGCCCGTGTTCAAGTCCCACAAGCGGAGGGTGCCGTCCCACGAACCAGAGAGCGCGAACTGGCCGTCCGACGAAATGACCACGTCTTCCACGAAGTGGGAGTGCCCGGTCAGGCGGCGGCGCGCGTACCCGTAGTTGTCGGGGTCGGCGTCGTGGGTGAGCTGCCACACGAGCACGGACTTGTCGCGCGAAGACGTGACCACCAAGTTGGGGTTCTCACGCGAGGTGGCGATGGCCGTCACCCAGTTTTTGCCGTGGCCGGCGAGCGTTCCGCGAAGCACCAATTGATCTCCCATGGTCGAATGAATTGAAAAAGTGAGGGTGGCGTCGATTTGAGAAATTGAATGGCGGGTGCGGTGGACTCGATTAAGTTCGGTTTCGTGGAGGCAAATCGGAATTAAACGAGACGACAAATGAACACACATTTCAATTGTCCTTGAACCTGTACAATATAATCAATCCATATATTGTATTATGAAGGATTTTGGTCTTTTTTACAGTGGGCGAATTCTGATTTTCGATCCAGTAAAACGGAGCAGAGGAAGTACTACTCTGGAGTACTGGTACTGTACTACAGTACTGTACGTAGTAAGTACAAAAGTCAGCTCAAAGTTGACGTTACCACTCACCACCACCCCACAAATCCAAGTAGTTTAGCTAGTACTATATACACTTTTAGCGACGGCATTATGCGGCCAAACATCGTGGCTGCCGCATACCAGTCGTCGCGTTGCTTTGTGTACGCGAGCTTTACGTCAGTGTCGCGGCCGTCGGCGAAGTCCTTGGCGCCGCTCAACCAGATGGGACTTGTCCCCTTGGTTTCGCCGTTCGAGCGCACCGTGAACCAGTATGTTGGGCTTAGGTTCAATAGGGGACGGGGGGATCCATCATTGCAACGAGGCATCTTCGGCGAATTCGTGGATGGGGATACGCGCGGGGGGGGCGCGGGACTTTATGCACTCGGGCAAGCCTAGAAGGAAAACACTCTTGTTAATATATATTGGTTTGAAAGGGGGGATAATAGGTATATAAGTGGGGGACCTCTGTCGTCAGGGGGGCACAAGTCAGATTGCAACTATAGCGACGCGTTGGTGGGAATGTGGATCGTGCGGACGGTAAAGTTGACAAATTCAAGTTTCAGTCCAAGGGTACAGTCGATGTCTCTATTGCCAGAAGCGGTATCACAACCTTCTGCCGCCGGGGGGCTGCGGAATTGACCTACCACGTTTTGATCTTTGGAGATGGCTATGCCCGTGGCATACAGGGTGCAAGGCTGTCAAACACCAGCGCGAATGGACCTGTCCCGACTTGGGACGCGGCGGCGGCGTAGACGAGAGCAGCAAGGAACTTCATGGCAATAAGTGAAAACGAGAAATGAAAAAGGGGCTGACATCGCCGTTGTGTGGATTTTTATAATTCAAACAAGAATTGAACGACCAAGCCATAATCGATGACTGGCTCTGGGTTCCGAGGAATTACCCGGCAGCAGGTAGTTACTACCTGTTGGCTACGGGTGTTGTGTATGTGTGGAATGGATTTGTCTTTTGCAAAGAAATTGGTTGTCCAGGCCATATTATCCGTTAACTCGATACAACCAGGTACTGCACTGTACTGTAACTACAGTACATTTGTGCCTGTGATCTTTGTCGGGATAACTAAAACCAGTTTAAGATAACTTAACCAATTTAGGATAACTTTGTATTGCCCAATCACACCTCGTTATTCAAAACCTCTGTCATATAATGCTGACCATTCCGTCACGTGAATGAAATGCAAAAGCCAGCGGAGTAGAAGCCATTGGTAACAGTCATTCACGATTGAGTTTGAAGTACCCTAGTCGACACGGCCCACATTGGGTTGGATCTGAGGTTTTGTCGAGTGTTCAACTCAGTGGACATCCTTCCACAACAGAAATACAACTCTATAAAACAATACCCTTGTATAAATGATATGAAATCTGTTGTAACCGCTTAACCTAACAACACAGAATTTCAATGCTCCAACACATACATACTTTAAGATAAAAAAGTTATCCTAAATTGGTTATCAAAATGTAAGTACAAATGCTTAGGGCTGGTCTGGATGCCACCCCATAAAATTATGCCATAAACCGTTTTGGCAAGTCTGCAAAAATTTCCCAAAGTCTCATATCCCATGAAAAAAAGAGAAAAGAAGTATCAACAAATCTTGCCAGTTGAATTATGAAAAATCGATTTCCGATTGACATGTGAAGTGCAAGACTTGAACGTGAACATAAACCATCATAAGAAAGTTGGGCCAAATCGGTCTATTTTTTTCTGCCATAAAACATCCGATTCTCGAGAAAAGTGTGGCATATTGTATTGAACTTTGGTGGCATCCAGACGCACAAAATTTCGAAAAATGGAATATTTCGATTTTGGCAACTTTTCTTGGAAAAACAGCCATTTTATGCCATTTTTCGTGGCATCCAGACCCGCCCTTAGAAAGTAACAAATTTTCCTGTGAAGTTCATCGTCTAAACTGATAATTCGATTATGAAGTGAAAGCGGCGCGTCTTGTCTATTGGAATCACTAACGTTACTCAAAACTCAAATATTGTTACGGACTTATGTCCATTCTACTCCGACGCCTCCAAAAAAGTTATCTTAAATTGGTTTTTTACGTTAACTGTAAATCTGCGGACTTGAAACCATGTCGAGTGTCCAGGCCGACTTCACACGAACCCATTCCTTGGTGATCACTACAATTAACGTTACCAAGTACAAGTATTTCGTCAGTACCTGACATTTTCCCCAACAAGATGAAGCCATAGGACATTCACGGTTGGGGCTCATATCTCGCCAAGGCACCGCCAGCACAAAACTATAATTCCGCAGCCCCCCGGCGATAGTAGGTGGTTGTGACCCAGCCCCCGGCTGTAGAAGCATCGACTGTACCACGGGACTTTGACCCTTGAATATATCAACTTTACCGTCCGCACGATTGACATTCCCACTAACGCTTCGCTGTGGTTGCAAGCTGACTTGTGCCTTTCCGTATACACTGATCCACCTATAATTCCCCCCTTTCAAACCAATATATATTCACGAGAGTTTTTCTTCTCGACTTGCTCGAGTGCACCAAGTCCTGCGCCCCCAGGCGTATCTCCATCCAAGAATTCGGCGGAGAGGTCACGTTCCAATGGTTCCCTGCGTCATCTGTTGAATGGACTGGCTTACCGTGTTCTCCAAGGACAACTTGCCCATCTGGTTGTAGACCACGAACGACCCCAACACTTGTCGCATGTCAAGTTAAACTTACACAGATCAAATAAATAACGTGTGCAAGATCGACCTGCTTTTTACTACGTACTAGTAGTAGTATTGTCAAGTTTGGAGTTTGGGGTATGAGCAGCACCAAATCGGCAGACAATCGATCGACCAATCAAAACCCAGAACACTTATCAAGTGGCCAATCAATTTCACTTTTCGACCAATTCAACACTGAATTAGTGTGTGACTGAAACTAGTATGATTCTGGACGACCTTTACATACAAAAGTCAGGACAAATAATCCATCGATAGATTTGGCGAATCAGTAAAAGGACGATACAGTGTGAGCTTGGTAGGGACGTAATTCGTCTTTGTAGGCGGGACCGGCCGGATGTCTTGTTCCGCTTTGTAGGCATTTTGCACAACTTGTGCTACCGATACAGTATACTGGTACTACTCTGGAAGAAAGTATAAGAAAAGTCATCTAAGTTAGCCTGTGAACAGTATTGGCTTGGTCATATCTCTTAGTAATACTATCTGTGGATAGTACCTCGAAATCCTATTAATAGTATACTAGTACTATTCATGGTACTTGAGTACTGTACCACTGTTAGACTTCCTTATTATATTGTCTTCCAAGGAGAATTCATTAATGCTTTGCTTTCCACTGTCCAAATTGCATGAACTTGACTGTTTGCCAACTATTAATACTTTTAATGTCACTAGGCAGATTTCGCAAATTCTAGTTTTGTTTTATCCACGTTCTATATTGTAGAAGGTGGATAGAGTGAAGGAAAAAAGAGTCTGAGTTTCGCAAACTCTCCGCTGCAAACAGCTTTTATCCAGATAAAACCAACCAATCAAATAAAGCCGGGTGTGCTGGTTACAAGCGCATCGAATACAGAAGTAACTCCAGAATATGCTGTCTGCTGTCGAAATCGACCTTCTACTAAGTCGTTGCCGCAGCGGCAATTTTCGCCGAAAGATGCGACTACTTCGCCTTATCGCATACGTCGTTGAACGTCCGCTTGTCCCCGATGTCCGGTTTGACCTGCTTGCGCTTTCCGATGCCGATTCAACCTTGAAGTTTCGCTTCGACGTTGCTGGGGTCCAAGCTCTCGTGTCCGCCCTGCGCCTACCCGTTGTGATCTTAACATCAAGCCACGACCGTTGCTTATCTACGGAGGCACTCTGCATCACCTTGTACCGCATGTCCTACCCACGTCGGTACTATGACATGATGGCCACGTTTGGTCGGTCTCGCGAGTCGATATGTCGTATCTTTAACGACATTATCGATGCATTGTATTCGAAGTGGAACCAGGTGCTCTACTTCTGCCAGCACATTGTTGCCGACCGCCTTCCCGCGTACTCAAGCGCTATTGTGTCCAAGGGCTCACCGATGGAGAAGATATTTGGCTTCATCGATGGAAGCAAATTCGAGACCTGCCGAATCACTCAAAAGCGCAGCCGCCGCCAGTTGGGTTTCTCCGATTTGCAACGCCTCCTGTACAGTGGGCACAAGTGTCGTCATTGCTTGAATTTTCAAGCTGTGACGGCACCCGACGGATTGTGTGTTCACTTTTGGGGTCCAATGGGGAAGGCTCACGCCACGACACCACGATGCTTCGGCTTAGCAAGCTAGAAGAGTATCTGGACGAGAACCGTCATGTTTTTGACGGTTACCTTATCTACGGTGACCCAGCGTACGGCGTTCTTGATTGGGTCTGTTCCGGTTTCTAAGGAAGCCATTTGGACCAGCCCCGTCGTGACTTCAATGTAGCCATGAGAAGAGTGCGGCAGTCAGTGGAGTGGTCATTTGGAGCCATGAAACAGCAATGGGCGATGGTCGCGTACAAGATGCAGCAAAAAATTTTGCTACAAAATGTCGGCAAGGTAATTTTGGTTGCCATGTTATTTAGCAATTGCCACTGCTGCTACTATGGTGGAAACCAAATCAGCGATTACTTTGGAATTGTTCCACCGTCGCTATGTGAGTATTTAGTTTTGCCAGAGAACTGAGTATAAATTTAGAAACATGATATGTTGTTTTACGTGATTCTTGTTGTCTACTGCTCTGGTCCAAACAAATGTATTGCATTTTTTATCTTGATTAAAGTATGGAAGGGCAGAAAAAACATCTTGATATTTGTATTGAACCTTTAAAACGCATATTCGAACACAAAAATTTAATGACATTTTATTTTATTACGGTTACTGCTCGGATTTGGGAATTCATTTAGGCGCCCATGTGAGCAAGTGCTTTTTCATGGACGAGTGGATCACAACGGACATTAAACAATGTCAAGTCCTTGATTGTAGCGTCTTTACTCATATGAGGAAGCTTATAATCATTTTTGCCCAAGGAATTAAGCGTCGATTCCATCACCTTTTGCAAGGTAATGAAGTTTTTCGACAACGTGTCACAGGGCAGCTCATCAAATGAGCTTTCTACAGCACCAATGAGCTCCTCGATGGTTCGAGTGCACTTTTGACTTTGTAGACTTTGTATTGAATTGAAGTATCCTAAATCCAGGACATTAAAGTCTGGACTATTAGGAGGCTGGTTCGCAGCTTCAATGCCAATAACACCAGACTGAAGCAGCAGTTGCGTGGTCACACTATTATGTGGACTCGCATTATCTTGCTGCAAATATATTGTTTTATTTTGGTCTTGACGAGGCATTTTTGCCTTAATTGC